ACATCCAAAATGGGGCTCTTGTTTTCTCTGGGCCCCCCGCGCGGGAACGCGCGGGGACGCGCGCTGCGTCGTCGCCCACTCGCTCACTCACTCATTCATCATCACTCATTCACGCAGCCATCGCGTCGCCATCGCTCACGCATGCAGTCATCGCGCCAGATTATGGGGGAAGTAGCAGGCGGGGGCCTCGTCTGCAAGCGAACTGCGTGGAAGCCCCAGGCGCCCCCCCCCCCCCCCGCCTACGGGGCCCGCGCTTCATTTTTGTAGTCCGAGCGGGCCATCCTCATTCGCGCAACTGTCGTCACTCCGGGGCCCCCGAGGCTTGAATATGGAGGAAGCATCGGGCAGAAGGCCTCGTCTGCGAGCGAGCTGCGAGGAAGTCCCGGGCGGGCGCCCCCTCCCTGCGGGGCTCGCACTTTATGATTTTAATCGAGGCGGGCCATCCCCATCCCTGTGAGTGTCGCCACTTCGGGGCCCCCAAGGCCCGAACGTGGGAGAAGCAGACGGAGAGGAGGAACAAGAGGTGAGGGCGACGACGGCGGCCGGGCGCAGACGGGGGCCCCCGCGCCCGGGCCGGCCGGGCCCTCGCGACGAGGAAGCGGAGAGCTCCGCGGATGTGGCCGAGCAGCTCGCCGCAGAGCTTGGCTTCGCGCTGCCTTCCGCTTGAGCGCGGCCGCGACTAGCTCGGCGCCTGCGGGGTTGCCCCAGCGGCTTGCCCCCGCGCCCCAGCGGCTCGCGCGTTTGCCCCAACGGCCTGCCCCGCGGGGTTGCCCCAGCGGCCGCGCGACGCTGCCATTCGAGAGTGCGCCCGCGCTGGCCGAGGCGGCGACGGCGTCGAGGAAAATCGGCGCACGTTCTTGCAATTTGAAAGGAGAGGAAGTGGCGGGCGACGAAACAAACAGCAGGAGGGCGAGGCAAGGGCAACGCGGAGAGCGGGCGAGGGCCCTGCGCCAGAGCCAGAATGATAATGACGCAGAGAAGACAATAAGGGCGCCTCACTAATCGCGAAAACGACAGTGAAGGTTATTTCCAGATTAGCCGAAAGGAGTTTCAGGCGGGGTCTTTCCGTGGGAATAATTGTATACATATAAAAGCGTGTGAAACTGACGCCTTCCTTAATTCTCCAATAGGCATCCGTTACTGTCGCTTTGCATTCTATAATGCACCAAAGTGACGCGGGTCAGACGCGAAGACCACGTGTGACCCTACAACTGACACTACTGCGACGAGTACGAGTACTGTTACTACTACTACTACTACTACTACTACTACTACTACTACTACTACTACTACTACTACTACTACTACTACTCCTACTACTACTACTACTACTACTACTACTACTACTACTCGCTCTGTTAGCCGATTTTATATGTTGGAAGAGAGGGGGGAATGCGACGGTGATTCTAGGCGGGCGAGCCGCCGCACACGGCAACCAAGTCATTACCATGGAAAAACCACGCGCTTGCCACATGACAGCCAAACGATTACAAGAGGAAAACGATACGAGCACCATGAGGCAACCATACGATTCGCATGGGGAAACCGTACGGTTAGCATCAGAAATCAATGCGATCACCATGAAACAACCATAACATTACCATAAGAAGACCATGCGATTACCATGGGAAAACCACGCGACTACAATGGAACACGTACTGTTGCCCTAAGCAAACCACACGACTACCATATGACAACCATGCGGTTACCATAAAACCATGCGATTACCAAAGGAAGCCTTACCATTACCAAGAGAGAACCATGCGGTTACCACGCGAAAACCACGCGCCTATCATGAGAGAGCCATGCGGTTACCAGAGAAAACCTACCAGCACCATGAGAAAACCATGCGGATGCCATAAGAAAACCATGCGATTACCATGAAACAACCAAACGGGAAACGCTAGAAGACAATGCCACTGCCTTAAGCAAACAATGTGGGTACCATGAGACAGCCATGCGGTTAGCGCGAGAAGCCATGCGAATATCATAAACAACAACGACACGATGACAATGAAAAGCAATGGGGTTACCATTGGAAAACCATGCGAACACCATGAGCAGACCATGCGATTGTCATAACAAGTATACGGTTACCATCAAACTAACCATGAACTTTCCATGAAAAAAACACATGCCACTACTATGAGAAAGCCATGTGCTTACCATGCGAAAGCCATGTCAGTACAATGACAAAACTATGCGATTACCATCGGGGAACCGCGCGATCACCAAAGGCATACCGTGCGATTGCCATGAGAAAACCATGCGCCTACCATGAGACAACAGCGCGATTACCATAAGAAAACCACGCGACAGCCGCTCGACAATTATGCGATTACATTAGAAAACCATGCGGTTACTATAATCAAACAACGCGAGTACCTGAAGAAAACCTTGCGGTTGCCATAAGAGGGAGAATGAGAACACGGTCCACGTCGGGCCTCACCCGACTCGCGACTCCCGGGCGCCCACCTACGGTTTGGCAAGCGCTATGTTCTCTTAACTTTGGATTTGGTGCACATGCACGATCAGGTGGAGGGGAGGAGGCAACACCAGAACCTTCATCCAAACCCACCCCCTACGACTGACTGTGGGAAATCTACAAGACAGACAGGGGGGGATATCTTGGGCAGAATTCAACAGCGGTTGTGTGTGTGCTTGTGTTGTTGCTATTTCATGCACGGGTATGTAGACATGACTGGGTGTTAAGTTCAACGCTACTCTGGGCTTGCATGGTCCTATGCTTGATTCCTGGGGTGGGGGCAACAAGTAGCTCAGTGAGAGAGCCACTTCAATACTGTGAATTCGGAGTTGTCGATGGGGTGCGGTCGACACCTCCTGGGAATCATATCTTGATGTGTGCAAGCGAATGGGACGCTCCTCCGTGTCCCAGCGACTACATTTGGGTAGCTATTTCAATTATGATGGTGATTTTGTGCGTGCGGGGGGGCCTTGGGAAGATAAAAGCCCGTTCAACGCCACACCAGTCCAGGATCGACTCCTGCTTCCAAGTCCGGGTCCTCAATACGGCAACGGGGTACCGGAGGAAGGCGAAGAAGCGTGGCAAGTGCCGGATACGGAAGCGGAAGGTGCGGAAGCGATCGAGGAAATGGGTCCTGCCGGTCCGTGCGGCATGCCGTCGGTCCCTGTCCAGAGTTTCACGTTACACGGCTGGAGTGTGTAGCCATATCAGAATTACTAATTACATGCTGTACTACGAACCATGGTATGCTATGGTGTACTGTATCCTATTCCCGATCTTCGGAGCGATTACGCATCCTTCGACGGGGGTATGCTGGGCCACCCTTCTGGTCACCAGCATATACACCACTACGAGTTTCACCTACTTGCTACTAAAACTGTCTCTAATATTTTGGGGTTGCCTGTGGGACAAAATATCTTCTCAGGACCACCCCTGCGACCAGGACTACGACTTCGAAGTAAAAACTCCGCCTTCAGGTGACCAGGACTACGACTTCGAAGTAACAATTCTGCCACCAGGTGCCGCCTACGAGGATGCCGTCTCCGATGGGGGAGTTCCTGCCCATGGAGTCGGAGAACACGCCCGTCGCCGACCAGGACAACTACGACGATTGAGGCAGCAACTCCGTCCGGGGGTCCAACACCAGCTCCAGCAGGAGTACGGTGAGGGCGAGATCGGCTACAGCGGGGTTCGAGGCGATGGCAGTCCTACCACGCTGTACGAGCAGCACGGCAAGGTAGCACGAGCAGCTCCACGACTCAGCATGACTAGCACAACGACGCAGCACCAGCAACACCAGCAACACCACCAGCACCAGCAGCAGCACACGACGACGACGCAGCATCGCAGCACACGACGTCGACACCAGCAGCACCAGCAGCACCAGCAGCACTAGCAACACCAGAAGCACCAACATCAGCAGCACCAGCAACACCAGCAGCAACAGCAGCACCAACAACAACGTTCATAGGACGACGCAGCACGAGCATCCATACGACGACGCGCTACGAGCATCCTTGAGACGCAGCGCGTCAGCGGACCGACACCAGCACAACCACTCATCATTGCGACTCCCGATGGTTCTGGGAGGATTAGGGATGACGGTTTGATGCATGTCGTTGCGGACGGGGACCTTGCTCCTGAGATCTGGGAGGAGGATCGGGACGGCAATGTGATTCGATTGTCTCCTGGTCTTGACTCGGCGGTATCAGTACATTGTGTTTCTAATCTTGGCGTTGCCGCGATGTATTTTGGGGCCGCTGCAATGGATGAGCTACCGTGTACCCAATGTGGAGGGGCATCCTACTCTCTGCATGACGGCCGTCTTGACCTACGTGCCGGCGGTGGGGGTCAAGGGGGCAGTCGGGCCACCAAAAGACAACGCAAGGAGAAACAGATCGCGTCCATCGTCAGCGCAATCTTGGGCAGCGCGAGATCACCCACTAAGAAAAAGAGGAAGAATAATATCCACGGATCAGCAGCACAAGCAGCAGCACCGACGACAGCACCAGCACCAGCATCTACCACTGGCAGTAGCCTTTTGTCCATCCTGCAGCAAGCGGTGGCAAAAGCACCCAAGAACACCAACGACGAAGTAATCCTGGACCGGCTCGAGGAGCTCCTCGCCGCCAGGAAGACCAACCAAGCTACGACTACACCACCGCGCAGAGGGCGATGGAGAAATCAGGCGGCGAATCAGAGCCCCACCATTGATCCTAACCAGCTGGTTCCCACCCGGAGGTGGAAAGTGGACGAACGACGATTCCTTGGAAAACAATTCTCAGGGGCTACGCAGGTCCTGGCCGCCCTCCGAGATGGCCGGGATCCAGACGGTGATGTTGTCGTGCTGAACGCGGCCCAGAAACAGGAGGCGGCGGAGCTTGCCCAAGCACACGGCGTTCAAAAGAACATGACTGTGATTGTGTCCGACACACCTACCAACGACCATACGGCGGCAGCCAACGACAGTGACACATCCCAATGGGTCGCAGTTGTCAAGGGGAGTCGGCCGAGCATGAAGAAACTGGAATGCACCAACCTCCAGGGAGCCAAGGCCGATGCTCCGAGGTACGAGTTGGAAGGGCCTGAACCACCAGACGTCCGTGCTACTACTACGGTGCGGGTGACGGTGGTCAAGGAATTCATGACGGACGCGCAGTGGAAGGCGGCGCGCCAGAGGCCAGGAGCCGTGGCCACTGGCGATCTCGACAAAGACGCCATCATGGCGGCAGAAGCCTTCTCGGAGGTTCTGGAGGCTGGAGAACTGGTGGCGGTTACGGGGTATCTCACAGTGGCCACGGCGGGGTTGCACCCAGTCTTGGCCGCCAGCGGAGCCCATGGACGATTCTTCCGAGTGCTTGCCAAGGAGCGCTCGAGCCCCGACGTGCCCGTTAAGTGGATCAAGCGCTTCGACGACAACAGCATCGACTACTTCAGCAGGGTCCGCGGTCTGGTGGCATCAATGGCACCCTCAAGCAATGCATGCATGGTCTTGCGAAACGGCGGGGGCAACAACCTCGGCGTTGTGGGAGTTGACGTGGATGACGCTATGGCGGTGGCGGCCCGGCCATCAGCATGGCGCATCCTCCACATCCCTCGGACTTGGACGGCGCACGAGCTAAAATCTTGGCTACGAGCAGCTGGTTGGAACGATGTGGAGGTAGAGTCGCCGCCACAGACCAGGAATGGGCCGTGGGTCGTCCGTGCACAGCCACGCCGCCCTAACGGCGATTTGACAATCGACGCGTGGGCTATCCAGCTCAAGGGACAAAACCGATCCATTCAGACCCAACGCTTCGTGCGCGGCTCAGGAGGCCAAACGACGAAGCCTACGACGACCAAGCGGTGGCGGTGGGGTGCCGACCCGCCCGCTCCACCCCCCACAGCCGACGACATGGCAGTCCCAGGGATTCACGACATGGACGTTGACTTAGAACGCCGACGACATTGCCGACAAGCAGCAGAGACAGAAGCGGTATGACCAGGAAAACATGGATCTCGACGGGCTTGCTGGCTGAGGAGGCCCGGAAAACCGAGCGGGCCAAGAGGACAGCCGCCAGGGAGGCGGAAGACACTGCAGCTCGGGACAAGATCAAGAAAGCACGGGCCCAGCCACCGGCTTCTGCGCCGGCAGGGCCTAATTGGGAGCCTGCGGCCCCTGGGGTCGGACCTGGAAAGGCTGCGCCTACTGTTAAGCCAACGGCTGCGCCTGCAAGGAAGCCGCCGCCCAAGCGGAAAAACCCCTTCGAGGCCATCGACCCGGGCTCCAACGGAGGTGATTGCGGTTACAGGGCGCTGGCTGCTGGTTGGGCGTTGCTCGGAGACGTCGCCAAGGCCAACCGGGAGACCACACTGCAACCAGCCAAGCTCGAGAGGATGGCGAAGACCTTGCGGGCGCAACTGGCCCTGCGCATCGACAGCCACAGGGAGTACTTCGAAGATTTTTGGACGCACGTGCCCATGCGGCTTGACAAAGAAGACGGAGACATCCCGACCACGTGGGAAGAATATGTGAAAGCAAACAACAGACCGAAGCGTTGGATCGACGGGCTGTCATGCCAGGCCGCCTGCGACCACTTCAACCGACACATCTACACCTACACAGGGGTGGGTAATGAGCTGAAGGACGTGAACTGGGTCGACAAGGTGACTTGGTTCCCGACGGGCCCAGACGCTCAACGAACGGCGTTGCTGCAACCTGCCCTCCATGTGGGCCTCTGGAGGGACCATTGCTACATTTTATTACCAGACGACGGCGAGAGGCACAAGAAGGAGACCAAAAGGCCGAACAAGCAGCAGATCGAGGAGCGCATCCAGAAAGCCTGCCGACACAGTGGCTCGCCCAGGAAGGCTGATGCTGAATCCGACTCCGAGGACTCCTGGATGACGAATTTGGCCCGGACACGGTCTTCGAGAAAGCGAAAGCAACCCGACACGCCCGACTCGTGGCTTGGTGAGCCGGGGCCCACAACGACCCCGCGCACCACACGACGACCAACACCTGCAGCACCGCGGAGCGCACGGAGTGCAACCACGGCCACGCCCAAACCTACGCCGAATGGGCGCGACATCCCGACGGGGTCAGCGACTACCATGGAGACGCCGAAGGCACGGACTAGCAGCGCCAACACCAGCACTAGAAAACCACAACGTGCACTCCCATCCAAAACAAGCATCACGTGCACCGACCATGCTACACGGCTGACGTGGACATGTGGGCTGTGCGGCGACACGATCGCAACTCTTGTAAACACCGTTGCCCATGCCGTTGGGTGGTCGTGGAAAAGCAACGGGAAGAAGCAGATCAGGAAGACACGGAAGGTTCATCCAAATTACCATATTACTCATGAGCGAGCGAAGCACTTACGGAAATGGCATCAAGGAGAAAATTGGAAGGACGCAGGCAACTATCGACCCAGCGTGGAGATACCTGCTCTATCCCAAGACATACCTGACGACAAGGTTCGTTGGACTTGTCCTGTATGCTACATCCGACAACCGGTGTCACGAAATACCATTGCATACAAGAACATGCCACGAGAACACCGATGACAAGAGCACCCCGAGTACGACGACCAAGAGTGGCGGTGCATGGTACGGCGGTTTACAATGCTGAAGAAATCTCCCGACGGCATGCTGGATCCACGACGCCAGCGGGACAAGCGGGCTAAGAGCCTAGTCGTCTTACCGCCGTTGCCAGCCCACCAGGCCCGGCCTCGCGAGGAGACGCTCCGCCGGAGGAGGGCAGCGAGAGCAGCTGGCCGCTGCTGAGGCGGAAACGACTGCACCGACCATTCCCACGCCCTCTCCTCCTCCTCCTCCTCCTCCTCCCCCTCCTCTTCCTCCTCCTTCCCCCTCCTTCCCCCTCCTTTCCTCCTGTGGGGTACCTATCGCCATACAGAGTCGAAAGGGGTGGCGCGAACACGATTCCAGTTACGATGGGAACAATCAATATTGCCTCGTGGACACAACACGGTAAAGATCTCCTGAGCACGGCCGAAGAATTGGGTTTGGAGTTGCTTGCAGTGCAAGAACACGGGTGTCGACGTGCAGATCTGGGCCGGGTGAGTAGGCTTGCCGCAGAGCACGGTTACGTATGGACAACAGGGACCTCTTGCGACGACCATGTGGTGGTGACCGGGAGGAGTGGACGAACACGGGACGAATGTGGAGGCATCTGCGTGCTAACGACGGGCCGCGTACGGGTCACCAGGGTTGCATGGGAACGGCGGACTGGGACCAACGGCGTCGAGGCTGGAGGTGAGGGTGCAATTTTTAACGTTCACACCGCTTATCGCACGGCATTATTGGCTGTGGTACATTTGCGGGCGGCAGACGACGACGATGCACGGAATGGTTTGCTACAGTGGGTGGCTTAGCAACACGCTGCGATGGGAGGGCGGATCCCTCTGCTTATCGTAAGGGATTACAACACCACGCCCAGAGATCCCATCATTACGGAGACTGCGCGGCTTTTAGGGCTCCGGGTGCAAGGCCCAGGCGAGTCCACGAGATGGGGCTCCAACAGAGAAATCGATTACTTCATGGTTACGACAGCTATGACAACGTCAAAGGCTGTTGCGAACACCCATACGCTTTCCGACCACAAGCTGGTAACAATGGGTGTGCAGTTCGACGCTCCACACCCTACTGCTGGATGCTCCTGGTTGCGGGCAGCACGCTACGGCAAGCGGAAACCCGACCGAGACGAAGCACGAAGCGACGCCCAAGGCAGCACAACCACGACTACGACGCAAACCGAGAGCAGACCAGCGACGCAGAACGAGCGACCACAATCGTACGACGCTGCAGCAGCAGCGACAGCACGACGCAGCAGCACGACGCAGCAACAGCAGCACGACGCAGCAGCATCAGCACGACGCAGCAGCATGACGCAGACCACACCAGCAGCACGACGCAGCAACACAACAAGCCAGCACGCAACAAATCGGAACCACATGTCGACGCAGCACGACCGCTCGAGGGCCCAAGCGGCCCACGACCTCCGAGCGACCCACGAACGAGCAACGACCAATTTGGACACCGTGGATGGTTTGGCTGCACATTGGCGCGCCCTGCCCGCCTACGACATCCACGGGGGCACCATCGACGAATGGTGGCCCGACTGGAGTGCGCGAGCAGAGGCAGTGCTACAATCCCAGGCGACGGTAGTCTTGACCCAGGGCACAGTCCCCAAATCCGACCTCTCTTTCGCAACATGGCAAAGGAGAGAACAAGACGACGACGTGTGGACAAAGCACACGCGGCAGCTACGCCTACTAATCCAACGGCTTCGGACCCCGCCGGCACGGCGAGGGAGGCGAGCGGCCGGGGACCTAGCGAAGTGGGCGCGGAAAAATCACAGGCTGTGGCGCTCTGTGATGGGTGGCGACAAGCTGGACTCGGAGCCAGCAGCAACCAAGCAGGCGGAAAAGGCGCTCGCTACGGCCATCAAGGGATGCAAGAACGAACGCGTCAAATGCTGGAGAAAACGTCTACAGGCCGACGGGCTTGGGAAGACCACGGCGGCCTGGATACGTAACGCAGTCAGCACGTACCACAACGTAGCTGTGCAGGACGACACCAAGCACGACCACGACGCAAACGACACCACGCCCACCAACTACTTTGCACAAAACGCAGTGGAGCGCATCCGCGACTACTACGAGAAACATTTCACGGCTTGTGGACAAGGCAACGACACGGACGGTTACTTCTACCATTACGACAACTACGTCGAGGAGGCAAGAGCAGGGCGACCACTGGGCACGACACGCAACGGCAACCCTTGGCAGCTTTGACCACTGGGCACCGCCGGCGGCGCCGCAGTTCCGCCGCATGTTACACGGGGGCACGGCAGCAGGACCAGACCAATGGGCTCCCTCGGAGCTTATGCTCCCCCCAGAAGAGGCACTGGAGGAGCTGGTGGACCTCTGCGTCTACGCCGAGGAGCACGGATGGCCTACGAAACTGCTGCAGTGGCGCCAGGTCCACCTACCGAAAGACCCAGACACAGCGCTCCCGAGCCTGACACGACTACGCCCAATCGCAATCGCGAGCACTGTGGTCCGCGCCTGGCACAGGTAGAGGGCAGACCAAATGGCCACCTACGTACCCCAGCCCCGCCTTCCTGCCCACGCAGGGAGGCGGACTCAAAGGGAGAACCCTCGAGTCCCTCATTGAGCCTTGCCTTTCGCTCATTGAGGAGACTATCACAGCAAACCTCTACGGCGACAGAGACGGTAACCTCGGTGACTTCACGGGGGAAGAGCGACGTTTGCTGCGAGAGAGACAAGCCGAGCTTCACGTCAAATCGTGGGACTACGCTTCTGCTTTCGACCGGGTTTCTCCGCGGATCGTGGGCGAGATTTGGGAGCGACTTGGGGTGCCGACCAAGATCGCCGACAGCATCGTGCAAATCTGGACGCGACAAGAGCGGTGGATTGAGATGGGGCAGCTTCTCTCACCGCGCACGATCAGCGTCCAGCACAATCTACCTCAGGGGGACCCTGCCGCAATGCTCGGGATGGCCACCGTGCTCATGGGGCCTATACGACGCCAAGCTGCACTGCACCCACGAGCAACCTTCTGCACCTTTGCGGACGACCGCACGGCGGCCACGACCACCGAGGACGAACTACGGAGCATCGAGGAGGAACGGGACATGCTGGAGTCCATCACCGCGCTGCGCACCAACACCAACAAAAACCAGGCTTTCACAATCCTCCCGCACCGGTGCGACAACCACCACTTGCAGGGCAAAATGATGAAATGCCTTGATATGAGAGAGCGTGATCCACCGCCGCTTTACTGTGGAAAATTGCCAACCTTTTCCGCCGGAACCCGGGGGTCTCCCGCCCCCCCCCCCCCCCGAAAATTTCCCCCCCGCCCCCCCCCTGCCGTAACCCCTCCCCCCCCCCCCCCCCCCGCTCTCCCGCAAACTAACCCCCCCCCCAACCCATAACCCCCCCCCCCCCCCCCCCCTCCCGCTCGAAAGCCGGGGGTGGTCACTACCCGTTCGAACCCCTCCCCCCAATTCACCCCCCCTCCGGATCCGTAAAACAAGGGGGGGATGCCTACGTCGACCCCCCCCCCCCCCCCCCCCCCCCCCCCCCCCCCCCCCCCCCCCCCCCCTACTCACCGCCAGCAAACGACTCCCGGTCCCCACCACCGTCCGCATCACATCCCCCACTGGTGTTCCCAGCACCACTGTCCTCACCACCGCTGTCCCCACTGGTTCCACCACCGCCCCTACTGTCCCCACCAGTGGCCCCACCACTGTCGCACTGTCCCCGCTGTCCCCAGAACTGTTCCCACCACGGTTCCACTCTCCCCACTGTCTCCACGGCCCCAACCACTGCCCGACTATCCCCACTGTCCCCACTGTCCCACTGACTCCTCCGCTGTCCCACTGAGCTGTCCCACTGTTCCCACCACTGTCCCCACTGTCCCCACCACTGTCCCCACTGTACCTCTGTCCCATTGTCCCACCGCCGTCCTCGCCACCGCTTTCACCACTGTCCCCACCACCATTGTACCCTCCACTGTCCCACTGTTTCCACCTCGTTCCCATTGTCCCCACACCACTGTCCCCACCACCACCGTCACCACCACTGTCCACTGTCCCCCCCTGTTCCCACCATTGTCCCCACCACTGTCCCCACCACTACCGTCCCCACCGCTGTCCCACTGTCCCACTGTCCCCACCACTGTCCCGCTATCCCCTCACCACTGTCCCCACCACTACCGTCCCCACCACTGTCCCACTGTCCCCCCACTGTCCCCACCACTGTCCCGCTGTCCCCTCACCACTGTCCCCACCAACACCGTCCCCACCACTGTCCGCACCCCCACTCGGTTTTCGAGGGGGGGGGGGGAGGGGGGGGGGTTCGAACCGGTAGTGACCCCCCCCCCTTTTCATGATGAGCTGGGGGGGGGGGGGGGGGGAGGGGTTCGAACCGGTAGTGACCCCCCCGGTTTTCCGGAGGGGGGGGGGGGGGGGTGGGGGGGTTCGAACCGGTAGTGACCCCCCCCGGTTTTCCGCCAGCAGCGGTAGAACACGCTCTTTCCTTGATATCGACTGCACCATGCAAAGGGCCACGCTCACAGGCCGGGAGCG